TTTTATCCCCTACCAGATGAGACCTTTGGTTCCAGCTAAAAACAGAGCGATCCAAATTTACCTTAATTTCTCCATCTACATTTTATATAATAATAATAATAATAATAATAATAATAATAATAATAATAATAATAATAATAATAATAATAATAATAATAATAATAATAATAATAATAATAATAATAATAATAATAANGTCCTTCTTAAGTTTCATTACTAGAGCCTCCAGATCATTTACGTGCTTGCTTCTCAAAGTAACTATATCAGCGATGCACAGTTTTTCTTCCTCCAGTTTTAAAACCATGCTCATATTCTTCCAATTTAAACCCCTTCGTTATGTATTCAGCACATAATTTGAATAAATAAGGGGAGAGTACACAGCGTTGTCTCTTCTTTTGTCAACCTGAAACCAGCTGAGAAAAATCTTCTTGGCTAGTATATTTGTCCCAAGGCTGGGTGTTATGGAAAATATCAGTGCCAGCAATGTTTATTCAGTCATCGGAACAACATTATGGAAAGAAATGCGTAAAATAATCCATGCATTTTGAGGACAAGTTCGTTTTTTTATGAAAGTTTTCGGGAGGAAGTTTCTTTTTAAAAAGTGTTCGAAGTGGATGAGAAGACCTACAAGAAGTGCTTCGTTTCACCTTCTTAAAGATGAAAAAGTAGAGAGGGGTGTGTGTGTTTAATTGGGTGGTCTCTGCCCCAAGGCCTAGTGTTGTTGTTGTTTTGTAAGGTCTTAAAGGCTTGGCTTCGCAAATGGGTTGGGAGAGTTAGTTGTGGAGATCAACCAAGCAAGGCAACAGGGTCCAATTGACTTTTCAGGAGGCACCGCCAACTTTAGTCCATGATAATAATAATAATAATAATAATAATAATAATAATAATAATAATAATAATAATAATAATAATAATAATAATAATAATAATAATAATAATAATAATAATAATAATAATAATAAAGTTGGAAGGGACCCTGGAGGTCATCTAGTCCAACCCCCTGCTCAGGCAGGAAACCCTATACCATTTCAGACCAATGGCTGTCCAGTCTCTTAAAAACTTCCAGTGTTGGAGCATTCACCACTTCTGGAGGCAGGTTGTTCCACTGGTTAATTGTTCTAACTGTCAGGAAGTTTCTCCTTAGTTCTAGGTTGCTTCTCTCCTTGATTAGTTTCCCTCCGTTGCTTCTTGTCCTGCCTTCAGGGGCTTTGGAGAATAGCTTGACTCCCTCTTCTTTGGGGCAGCCCCTGAGATATTGGAATACTGCTATCATGTCCCCCCTCGTCCTTTTCTTCATTAAACTAGACATACCCAATTCCAGCAGCCTTTCCTTATATGCTTTGGCCTCCAGTCCCCTAATCATCTTTGTTGCTCTTCTCTGTACTCTTTCTAGAGTCTCAACATCTCTGGACTAATAGAACTATGTGTTCCTCTTAACTGCTATTTTGTTAGAAGGTTTACTAGTAGGGGCATGGGGGCCTAGCAGTTTAAACATTGAACTTGTAGACTGGAAGGTTGGCAGTTTGAGACCCAAGTACCATGTGATGGGGTGAGCTCCTGTTCCTTGCTCCAGCTCCTTGCCCACCTAGCAGTCTGAAAGCATGCAAACGCGAGTAGATAAATAGGTACCACTTTGGTGAGAAGGTGTTCTGTGTACTTCTGTGTGTAGTTATGCTAGCCACATGACCACAGAAGCATCTTTGGTCAATGCTGACTCCCTTCGGTAGGAAACAGAGATTAGAAAGAGTCCGACATGACTGGACAGGGGAAACCTGTGTCTGTTTTTTGTTTATTTGTTTTTCTGGTATAGCAAAAATAGGATTTTATCAGAAGGCTGGGTTTATGGATTGTATTAAGACTCTCCCCCACCTACTACCCCAGTTCCCATCTAATTCAACCATTCGAGGAATCGAACTTCAAATTTGTGGATGGACATTGTAGAGGAAAAGGATTATATTACAAGAAAATCCTTTTGTTTTTTTTTAAAAATCATAATACAACTTCTACTCTGTGTTTTATGCCTTATTCTTCTAGCAGCTGTTCTGTTCCCGGAATGGTACTTTTATCATAATTATGCGCTTACAGAAACAATAATGACACAAACAATAACTTGGAAAGACACAGTTGTGTTGTGCAAAGAATGCACCGGAAAATATTCAGAGAGATGTAACATGGCATGAGTCAACATGACACATAGCAATTGAAATCTACTCCTTTCATTCTTCCAGACTTTTCCACTAAAATGGTTCTTAAAAGTTGCTTCACAAATGTGACGATTGGCATATTGTTCATTGAACGTGTTACCGTCGCTGCTTCCATCCCCTCGTCTTATTATCTGTCTCTTATCTCTGCTGCTTACTTTGCTAAATGGGTCATATAAACTAGGAGTTGTGGCAGAGGTTACAATAGGTCTGAATTTTTACTTTGTTTTAAAAAGCTCTCGCACTGTTCTGGCGAAAGCTGTCTCCTGCTACTTCTGAAGGAAACCCAGTGCCGTAATTAAAATATTTCTTTCCTTTTTCTTCTAAAAGACAACTTCCATCATTTGCTCAGGTTCTCCGTGTTTCTGTAGTACAAAACAGGGCCCTCGTAAGTGCCATCATTCTTACAAAACTCTGTTTCCAAAAAACTAAAGGAGATTCATAAATGAAACACTGATGAGAAGGTGTGGGAGACTAGGGGTGACATGACAGCAGTATTCCAGTATTTGAGGGGCTGCCACAAAGAAGAGGGGGTCATCTTATTTTCCAAAGCATCAGAGGGCAGGACAAGGTAAACAATGGATGGAAACTGATCAAGGAGAAAACCAACCTGAAATTAAGGAGAAACTTCCTGACAGTGAGGACAATTAACCAGTGGAACAGAAGTTGCTTTCAGAAATCGTGGGTGCTCCATCACTGCATCTTCTTTTTAAGAAGAGACTGGACAGCCACTTGTCTGAAATGGTATAGGGCAGTGATGGCGAACCTTTTAGAGACCGAGTGCCCAAACTGCAACCCAAAACCCACTTATGCATCGTCGGGTGCCGGGTAGGTGTGGCCCATTGGGTGGGCGTGGCTACGGTGGTAACAACAGACTGGGTGGGACTAAAAAGTTCAATCAATCAATTCCAACTTTGCAAGATCTTTTTTTTTCCCCGTGAGAAGTTGAAATTGACTGATTGAACCTTTTTTTGTTTTGCACATGGTGGTGGAGGCCTAAAGCGAAAAGGTTTTATAAAACCCAGCTGAAGGCCTAGGACTGGGGCGATGGCGCACGTGTCCACAGAGAGGGCTCTGAGTGCTGCCTCTGGCACCCATGCCATAGGTTCACCACCACTGGTATAGGGTCTCCTTCCTGAGCAGGGGGTTGGACTAGAAGACCTCCAAGGTCCCTTCTAGCTGTATTCTGTTCTATGGGCCAGGTCTTTCCACATCTTCTGATCTTGCACTAGAGTTGCTCTAGGCTCTGACTAGTGTCAGTTTTGATGTTGTCCAGCCATCGTGTCCTTTGATGGTCTGGTTGTGTTTTACCGCTAACTCTTCTAAACATAATTGCTTTCTCCAGTGAATTCTCCCACACGGCACGGCCAAAGTAAGTGAGACGCAGTTTCACGATTTTGCCTTTTAGTGACGCGTCTGGTGTTATGCGCTCCCATACTTGCTCGTTAGTCACCTCTCCTTTCCAAGTATAGTCAGCAGAACCACTTCCCCAAAAGTGTTTGGAGCTGTCTATGTTCCAAACAAAAAATTAAAAAAGGAAAAAAGGTTCTGTGTTAAGACAATAGATGGCCTTGGAAATGCAAACAAAGACCAGGTACTTATTATCATATCTGGTGGACATGCCCCAAAGCAAAAAGATTATGGGTTAAAATACATTTATGGTTGGAGAAAATGACTAAAACACAAATAGACTTTAAACCAGAATTATTTTTGTCAGGAATAATAGGAACTAATTATGAGAAAGATTGCAGATATCTAAGACTACACATATTAACGGCAGCAAGGATGGTATTTGCCCAACACTGGGAAAATGAAAACTTACCAACTGAAGAAGTACTAATTAAGAAAATTCTAGAGTGTGCAGAAATGGATAGATTGACTTTAAAGATTAAAGAGAAAGAAGACTCGGTGTGTTTTAGAACGTGGGATAATTTTTATCAATGGTTAGAAAAACGAGTCAGAGAGAAAGGAACGTGATATGTAATTTTGAATATACATTAGCATCGATTAACATATTGTTTATGATAATTAGCTATATCTATTATTGCTAGTTAAACACATGTACCCAGACATTACGCTGTTTGCGAAATATTGAAAATGTTATTTGGAGAAACCCCAATCCTAATCCCAATCCTAACCCTAACCCTAACCCAAATCCCAAGCCTATAAAAACTAATAAAATCTATGCAAAAAAAAGAGAGTGTAGATGGCCTTCATCTTCTCCAGGGCTTCAAGAGATGACTAGATCTTTCCAGAATCTGATGAGAAAATGGACTTAGTATTCCTTCTGCTCGTTGTCCATATTTCAGTAGGGAGCCCTGCCAAGCCACTCCTTTCCAAAGAAGTCTTGGTCACATCTGGTCCCCAGGCACATCGCTAAATGTAGCACACATCCAGATGAACATCTGGCTAAGGGTTCCTATAACGTTTACAAGACAGCATAGTTTTGGCAAATTTGTTTCATAACTCTCACACGGAATAGTTTCTCCATTTAAGGATTGTTGCCTTCTCGGAGAGATAAATAAAAACACGCAAGAAAATAAATATTCAAATGAGGTGGTTGTAGTGAGGAAAAATAGCCACAGACAATAAACACATATTAAAGAAAAATGTTAAACAAACGACTGCATTTCTTTAGGGGTATTTGGTTTCTTCACCGTAAGGAAGAATAGAACTCGTTCAATGGTAACATTTGGCCCGAAGGAAATAAATAAATGTTCAGTTACGGTTACAATTACAGTTACAACATATTTGGAGGACAATATTCTTCTTTCTGTAACTTCTTTCTTCTTATTTTAGGATAAGAGTCAAGGATTGAGTTTTGTCCGAATACACGCACCATGGAATGTACTGAGCCGAGAAGCAGAAATTCTGAAAATCAAAATGCCCACTAAAAGAGTAAGTATGGATCAATCCCATTTTTTATCACTTTTCAATGTTAGAAACAGAGGGAAGTAGCAGATAGGTCTACAGCAGACATGTCAAACTCACGACGTCACGTGACGTCACGCAACGTATCGGGCTGGTTTTGCCATTGCCGGCAATGGGGTGGGCGCGGCTTCCATATGACACGTCCGGCCCGCGGGCCGGCAGTTTGACACTCCTGGTCTACAGGGTATGGTCACAAAAGACAAGCTGGTGGCCATAACAATGTGAACTAAACTCCACTCTGTGATGACTCCCCCGGATGCTTCTCCAGATGTCAGCTCGAAGGAGGATGAACCAGATCAGGGCACATCTGGAGGGGAGTTGGTCCATGGCTCTGAGAGGGATTTGGCTGAAGCACAGCTGAACTGAGGCTTCAGGTGGGGAAAGCACCCAGCTGCAGGACTCAGTGATGAGGAAGAGGACCTGCCTTCTGCACCTGATCCAAGAACACATAGGACAGAGAAAAGGCAGGAGCAGAGAAGGTCAGCCAGATTACACGTGAGGAGGCAGCCTCACCCTTCTTGATGGGCTGCACCAGAAGCTGGCTATTTAGCACTGCAGACAGATGGAGGGGATGCTGGGAACAACATGTTTGTTTTCTTGGTGTGTGTTCTGGCCTTGAACTTTGGGTTGTGTCTCTTCAGCTGTTGCCTTTGCTTGCCTTGGCCTGTGTATTTGCCTTTTTTGCCTCATGGACTGGACTCGCCTTTGCCTTGAGGACTAATGTTGCCTTCATTTGAGTAGCTTATGCAACTCATTGGGGTTGAGCTAGTGCAGGGGTAGGCAACCTCGGCTCTTTTATGACTCATGGACTTCAACTCCCAGAATTCCTGAGTCAGCTATGCTGGGGAATACCAATTCAGGCTCGGAAGCCTTAATAAAGACTCCTTTACACCTGTGTTGTATGTGTGTATGCGTGAGTTGGACAGCCACACACTCGTGCTTAAAGAAAACAGGTGGAGATTTGATTGCCTCTTGGTGACTGCCATCTTTGCAGATACCTTTAGGCAGCAGAAATAAAAGGGGTGTCATCTAGCCACCCTTTTGGAGGAAAAGAGTTGAGAAGATAGATGGCTGAGTAGATTCCAACAACTTTCCTTATGTTCATCTAAGTTGTGCTTTGGCTTTTTTTTTTTTTTATACTCTCATGCCAGTCCAATTCATTTGGGCTCTATTTTAAGGGCTTGGCTATGGAGCATAAGGCTAGTTGGACCCTCAGATCACTTCCACCCAATCCTGATGCTAGCATGTTAAGAGGGCCAAAGAGCTCTTGTTCATGTTAAGAGGGCCAAAGAGCTGATTTACTCACTCCTGCCAGAATTTTAAATGAAATGGGATCAGCTGGTAGAAGTATATTAGAAGAGGGATAGTTGTCGTCTCTAGACTGCTCCATTTAAGGGCTGAATCCAACCAAGTGTTACTAAGTCCTCATGATTAAAAGTATATTTTACTGACTTAGGCTGGACTGCCAGTTGGTATTTTACAGGTAGTCCTCGACTTACAACATTTGAGACCAACGTTTATGTTGCTAAGCAAGACAGTTTGTGAGCTTTGACCCATTTTACAATTTTCCTCGCCACAGTTGTCAAGAGGATCGCCGCATTTGTTAAGTTAGTAACAGAGTTGTTGAGTGAATTCAATAGGTTTCCCCTATTGAATGTAGAATAGAACTTAGAATAGAATAGAGCTGGAAGGGACCTTGGAGGTCTTCTAGTCCAGCCCCCTGCTCAAGCAGGAGAACCTAGACCATCTCAGACAGGTGACTGTCCAGTCTCTTCTTAAAAATCTCCAGTGATGGAGCATCCACGATTTCTGAAGGCAAAACTGTAGACTGTTCCACTGGTTGATTGTCCTCACTGTCAGGAAGTTTCTCCTTATTTCCCATGGTTGAGCAGGCAACAGAAAACATAGTTTATTTTACTCCATATTTTTTTCTAGAGCATTGACAAGTTTCTTCATTTGATTTCTGAGCAGGAGTGCAACTGTTGAATATACACATCCTCTTTTTTTTTTTTTTACTGCATCTATTCCTTTTGAATAAATGAATTTAGCAAAAACAAAATTGAAGTTATGTACCTGTGATGTATGCCGTTTTTGTCTTTCTAGACTTATGAAATCAAAGAAGAAGGGGGAATTGTCAAGAAGCTGTCGTGCGTGTGGCAGAAATGTACAGAGCCACTGCAGCCTAAAGTGCCACAGCAAAACACCACTAAGATGAAGAATTTATCTTATCCCTTTTCCAGAGAAAAAGTATATTTGTGAGTATTTGACAGACTGGGTGATGGGACCGATGAAGTATTTAATCCAAATGACTTCGGCAGAAATTGGGTAGATGCTAAGCGAGCAAGGCACAGAGAAATCTTTTTCAAACTTGGCCACTTTAAGCTGCGTGGACTTCAACTCCCAGAATTCCTCAGCCGTTCTGGAAGTTGAAGTCTATATTGTTTAACATGGCCAAGTTTGAAAAAAACGCTGATATACACCAATGGGTTGCTTGGGAATCACAGAGGCAAAATGCCGATCACTTGATCAATTAAAGAATACAAAACAGCTTTCGCGTCCTTTTCTCAGCCATTCTAAGCTTGCTTGTTTTCTTGCAGACGTTTCATTACCAAACTAGGTAACATCACCAGTGCTAGAAAGGAGGGGGGTTGCTCTCGTTTTATATACTAGTGTCTTGCCCTATCGATATTGGTGGGAGTGGACTTGGTACTGCTATTAAAGTTTCAATAGAAGAATAGAATAGAATAGAATAGAATAGAATAGAATAGAATAGAATAGAATAGAATAGAATAGAATAGAATAGAATAGAATAGAGGAATGAAGAATGGAATAGAATAGAATAGAATAGAATAGAATAGAATAGAATAGAATAGAATATAGAAATGAAGAATGGAACAGAACGGAACGGAACGGAACAGAATAGAGTAGAGTAGAGTAGAGTAGAGTAGAATAAGAAATAGAAATAGAAATAGAAATAGAAATAGAAATAGAAATAGAAATAGAAATAGAATAGAATAGAATAGAATAGAATAGAATAGAATAGAATAGAATAGAATAGAATAGAGGAATGAAGAATGGAATGGAACGGAACGGAACAGAATAGAGTAGAGTAGAGTAGAGTGGAGTAGAATAAGAAATAGAAATAGAAATAGAAATAGAAATAGAAATAGAAATAGAAATAGAAATAGAAATAGAATAGAATAGAATAGAATAGAATAGAATAGAATAGAATAGAATAGAATAGAATAGAATAGAATATAGGAATGAAGAATAGAATAGAATAGAATAGAATAGAATAGAATAGAATAGAATAGAATAGAATAGAATAGAGCTGGAAGGGACCTTGGGGGTCTTCTAGTCCAGCCCCCTGCTCAAGCAGGAGACCCTATCTGGAAGGTGGGGTTAAATGTGTCATTAGTTTGGAATTATTGTGCAGTCACAAGAGACCTCTGTCCAGGCCTCCATGAATCCCGTTGCACTTTATCTTGTGCCAATTTAGCTTCGACCATTTAGTTGATCAGATTCTTATTTATAGGGAGCATTTAGAAACTCTTCCGTGCTTTGAACTCAGTGAGTCTTCCTGATTATTTATACTCGACAGGAAGGAATTGTGAACTGAGAACACTTTTATTACTGGAAGCTTGTCAGACAAACATCCTACAAGTGATTTAGCAATGCTGTATTACCTTCTCCTTGTAAAAACCTCTGCCTTTTGTGCTTGAGGAAAGTCAGGTTTAGTTATTTACTTATTTTGTACTATTAGCACCTGTGGCTTCTGAATAAAAAGAGTCTCCATGCTGTTTTGTAGGGTGTTACGTGACCACTTGTAATCCCCCCCCTCTTTTTTGTGTTTCAAGGTACAACATTCAAGATAAAGATACGTTTTTTGACAATGGCACCCGCAGTCGAATTGTAAGTAAATCCACAAGAAAGCTATTCTTGGCTTATGGGTTAGAATGCTTTCCATCCCTTTAGCAGTAAGAGAAACAAAGAGAGTTCCTATTTCAAAGTGCTGGTTCATGGGCAAAGGCTCAGAATTTCAGCTAATAGCAACAGTGATAGCACAGACTTATATATCGCCTCACCGTGCTTTACAGCCCTCTCTAAGCGGTTTACAGAGTCAGTGTTTTGCCCCCAACAATTGGGGTCCTCATTTTAACAACCTTGGAAGGATGGAAGGCTGAGTCCTCCTCCTCCTCCTCCTCCTCCTCCTCCTCCTCCTCCAGAAGAAGAAGAAGAAGAAGAAGAAGAAGAAGAAGAAGAAGAAGAAGAACCCATTATTACTACTGTGAAAATACAATAAATAAATCTATGAACCAGAGCCTTGTGGCAAAGTGGTAGTCAGAATTTGGGTTATAGTAGGGTTTAAAAAAAAAAAAGTACGTTGATTGATTAGCTTCTGCTAAATTTTGGAGAATCGTCGTAAGTGTTTTCTCTTTTTTCTTTCTCTGTTCCTTTTCTCAAACACAGGTACATGAAATTTTGAAGCGCACCTATAGTTCAAAAGCCAAAAACAGCATGGGTGAGAAAAAGTTTGAATTTTAAACATAGCTAACTAGCACATTGAACATTTCAGCTTTACAGGCAGGCCACAACTTACGACCATCGGTTCAGGGTCTGTTCAAAGTTACGATGGTGCTGAAAAAAAGCCTCATCATCATCATCATCATCATCATTATTATTATTATTATTATTATTATTATTATTATTATTATTATTATTATTATTATTATTATTATTATTATTATTATTATTATTATTATTATTATTATTATGTAAATTTATATACCGCCCTATCTCCCTTACGGGACTCAGGGCGGTGAACAGGCGATAATAAAAATCACAATAAATATTAAATAAAAACCCTGCTCTAAAATACCCCCTATAAAAACCCTTACCAAAACACAATCAAAACTACGCCAGGCCGTTGCACTTAATGACCGGTTCTCGCAATTACAACGGTCGCACCGCGCCCCCCCCACGTGGTCACGTGATCATTTTTTGCACATTTGGCAACCTGCTCCCATATTACAATGTTCTACGGTCCTGTGATCACAGTATGTAACCATTTTTGCTGGTTCCCGACAAAAAAATGCCTGTTCAGAAGAACGGGTTCCGACGCAAAGTCAATGGAGGAAGCCAAACCAGTGCACTGATGATGTTACCTAGTTTGGTAATGAAACATCTGCAACAAAACCACCAACTCAGAGATCCCCAAAGACTCCTCATGTCCACCCTGAGCTATAAATATTCTCCTTTCTTGATACTCTGGGCTGTCATGCAGCCAACAGTCTGGAAGAGCCAATCTTCAAGATTTATCTGCCCATCCCATCCCCCTGTGCCACCTGCATCATTTTACAACAGTGTTTCTCAAACAGCCATTTTAAGACGTGCTGACTTCAATCCCCAGAATTCCCCAGCCCACACGGCAGGTTGAGGAATTCTGGGAATTGAAGTCTTAAAGTGGTCGACGTGTGAAACCCTGCTTTATAACATCAGCTTGTTATTAAAAAAAACCAAAAATATACCTTTAGATCAGTGGTTCTCAACCTGTGGGTCGGGACCCCATTTGGGGTCGATCGACCATTTCACGGGGGTCGCCAAGCAAGGCTGTCCGCCATTTTTTTTGTCCGCCACTTTTTTTCCCCCTTTTCCGGCGGGTGCCTTACCTCCCTTGGGCTGGGCCAGCTGGTGGTCGGCCTGCTCCGTCTCTGCCACTTGCCAGCTACGCCTCGGCCGGCGCAGGGGGCGGAACCACGCATGCGCGGCGCTCCCGGGCAGGGAAAGTCCTCGACTTACGACCGGTTGGGTAGTCCTCGACTTACGACCGGTTTAGT